ACGTCAAAATAATCTTTTCATCCATTTCAGTAATTTATGTACATAAAAATGAAGCTGGCGTTAACGAGCTGACATTTACTTCAATTAGCGTATATTGATTAACGCCACAATAATTTATCATTATTGTTATTAAAAATATATATATCTTACTACTGAATAATTTTAAAAGAACGTTTTTCAAAGTATCATACAGTATCTCACTGATATTTACTACACGGTGTTTAATTCAAAGGGTTACTACTTTACTCGTAGTAATACTGAATCTGGACAATATATATATATAAACAAGCGCGCGCGTGTACATCTTCAGTATAATTGTTGTCTACCGCTTAAATCTCTCATTCCATTACTTAAACAAGTTTTACTGATTTATCAGTAAGATCTCTCTTAATTTAGCTCCAAATGCTTGAATATGTTTGTAGTTCCTTTAGAGTAACCTAGATTTATTGAAGTATATCATTACAGATAGAAAAACAACAATACTTCGATTTAAAATTAAATAACAATACCTTAAATAACGTTTTATAGTAATATAAGACCTTAAACCTAAAATTCTAGAATGTTATAGGCAGGAAAAATACATATAACAACTGATAAAAGAAACCTCAGCAAATTGGAGTAAATTTTACATCCAAATCAAAACTAATGTTGTCAATAACAGTATAAAGACAAAATAAAAACAACTCAAAACAGATAATTATGGAAAAGACAATTTACACATTTTTGTAACAAAATATTGCTTTTTCTGGCAAATATTTCAAACCCAAATCAACATATCATTCAGATAAAAAAAGACTATTTGAAGAGTTTAGCTAAATATGTTAAATACAGAACTCAACATTAACTTACGTAATCCACACGTTTCTTTCTTTAAAAAATAGACAATGATGCTCTAATTATAATAACCTCTTTGTATGATAGTTTGAAACTAAACAAGGCATTTGGAGTTAACAAATTATAAAAACAGATCACTATAACATACCACTTTTTGACATCATCCAGTCGTAGAATGTGATTGGATAATGAAGAGGGTATTTCAGATAGCGAAGCATGGTGTAACTTCTCCGAAGACTTTTTTTTTTCTATAAAAATATATATATATGTGTTTAAATGGTCAAGTTAAGCTAGTTGTTAGACAGAATTTTTGTAAATGCAAGAAGTTTCAACCAGGAAGTAACAACAAAAGTTAAACCGTAACCTCTCCAGAACAAATAAAGAAATAAGGTCAAGTTGACTGGGTGAGCCAGCTAAGTTTTTGTTAAAGTACTCTAAACCATAAAGAATATTAAAAACCGACAGAAGTGTTTCTTGAATTCTAAAATATTCTGTTTGGGAAACGTTTTTGTAGATGCTAAAGAGTGGCATTTCTACATGTGAATAACAACATAACTAAGACCAATTTCAACACCTTAGAATGCATGAATATCACTCGATAAAATATTACATTATTACAATATTAAGATTCTGGAACATAAATTTCC